GCCCAGGACAGAACCTTGCAGCACTCCACTCATCATTTCTTTCCAGGATGAAGAGGAAGCATTGGGGAGCACCCTGTCAACTTTTGATTCAAATGATTTTGGAACTTGCCATTCATTTCCTCTGTTCCATTGCAAGCCCTACACCTACAAACAATAAAGGTGCATTGATTTTTACTATGGACATCCAGGAGAATCTGTGCTGTTAGTACTTCAGTTCTGTGAACCTGCTTTGAGAGTTGTTCCATTCGGGCTATATATAAACTAAATTGCTTGTGTTGTTTTCAAACAGTATCTCACTTGAATCATTCCCTTGATTCCCTTCCCTTTTTAATTGGAGGCTCCGCTCTCTTCATTTATGTTAAGCACTCAATAAAAAAATCAATCCCTGCATCTCACTCCATCTTGACAATAGGTTTTAATCAAAGGGAGATAAGAAGAAACAGCTTGTAGGTCTGGGATTTGGCTCACTGGCTCTTCATCCCCAAACAATTTGGAGATTGTGGGAACTCTCTTCTCACATTTTATGCAGTATTGACTAACAATAACAAATGAAATTGTTAGAAGCCATATTACTTTTTTATTCCTCTAATGACTTTTGCAGTTCAAAAAAAAATCTCACTTATACAGGAAATAGAACTGTCTAGCGGTTAAGTCTGTTTTCCTAAATACCTTACAGACATTAGATCCTATCTGATCTTGGAAGCTAAGCAGAATCAGCCTTGATTAGTAGTTGAATAAAGACCACCAAGGAATACAGGTGCTGGAGGCCACATTTCAGAGGAAGAAACTAGCAAACCCATCTCTGAATATTCCTTGCTTAAGAAAACACAATGAAATTCATTGAGTTACCATAAGTCTACAGGCAACTCATAGAAACAACCACATAATTAACATTATGTAACAATTTTTTAAAAAAAAATCTGTTCCTGGTTTGAAAATATTATTTCCTGTTTAACTATATGGTACTTACTTTGAAAGTTGTTATACTCAAGAATCTTTGTTTTTGTGGATGCCACAAACTATGTTAAATTAGTTGAGACTCTATGAGATATTCATTGAGAAACTATAGTAAAATATGCTACTTTTCCCATGTTTTTATGACAAAACAAATTAGGAAATGATTTATAACCCAGGAACAAAAATTGTGTTACATAGAGTAATCGAACTGAGATTGTTGCGGGCTCTCTGTGGTCCGTACTAATTCATGTAACCTGCAAAGTTGCAAAAACTTTTGAAGTCCAAAAGAAGATATATTTACGTGAAGAGAACTAGCTGTTTTGTGTATGTGCAATATTTAAATTAGGCAGAACTTGCAAAAATGCAAAAGAGCAGCTTTTAAGTTTCAGCAGAAAGCATCACACTTCATTTCAAAATAACCATGAACGCCACTACACTAATTTTTCAATTTATGAAAACAGACAATAAAAGATATAATCTTTCAGCATGACTCACTCATTGTAATCTTCCATGGTGCTTCCTTCAAAATGTGCTGAACCATTCAGTGCAGAACACTGGAACATTTGCATATTTCCTTCACATGCTGCCTATAAATATTAAAAGAACATCAACCCAAAGCAACATAGTCTATACTTCCTCCTACCATATTACTAAAGGAAGGGATGCTTGAAACAGGGCTTAAATGACGTAAGTGCATCAGATCCCATCTCATCTTACACTACAAGCAGGGTTAGTTGAGATTAGTACTTGGATTGAAAATCACGTGGTTTTGCCAGTTCCTTCTGAAATTCAGCCTATATTTTACTCTATTTATTATAATTATGATGTTTATTATTTTAACTCTATTACTGTTATTATTACATGTATTATTTTACTCTATTTATTACATTTATTATTTTACTCTATTATTATTATTATTATTATTATTATTATTATTATTATTATTATTAGTTAAGGTAAATATTTCCCCTTGACATTAAGTCCAGTTAATGGGAGGTGGTGCTCATCTCCATTTCTAAACTGAAGAAGCGGCGTTGTCCGTAGACGCCTCCTAGGTCACGTGGCTAGCATGACTGCATGGAGCAAACGTTACCTTCCCGCAGAAGGTAACATGCAAATCTACTCACATTTGCATGTTTTTGAACTGCTAGGTTGGCACAAGCTGAGGTTAACAGCAGGAACTGCCCCCACTCCCTGGATTCAACCTGCTGACCTTTTGGTCAGCAAGTTCAGCAGCTCAGTGATTTCACCCGCTGCACCACCAGGGGTTCCTTATTTTGATTATTTTACTCTAGTTATTATTATTATTACATTTTTATTTTACTCTATTATTGTTGTTGTTATTATTACATTACTTATTATTTTACTCTATTATTAGTTTTATTACTTATTTTACTCTATTGTTATTGGAAGGATACATAAGCACATTTACATTGAAGAAGGTTAGAATAATGGTTTAATCAGAGTTGGACAGTCTTATCTTAAATTACAGTTTCATGTAAATATTCCAAAACATTTAACCTACTGATGCCTCAATTAATGTAATTTTATTGGTATATTTTATTTTGAAATTTATTTATTTATTTATTTATTTATTTACAGTTCTTATATTCCGCCCTTCTCACCCCGCAGGGGACTCAGGGCGGATTACAGTAAACACATATATGGCAAACATTCAATGCCAGTTTGACAAACAACATTTAACAGACAAAGGCTATTTAACTTTTTTCTGGCCGCCAGGGGAGCTGCTGCTTTTCATCGTCCATCAACGACACCA